TCTTTCCCTCCTTCAACACCAAAAGTTTTGACAATTTCATCTCTTTCTTCGTCCCTTTTCTTCTCCAAAACATTATTACACCTGATAAATAATTAAATCATTCTCAAAACCTGAAAACAAAACCCGAATTTGATAAGAATCTGTAAAAAAAAAAAAAAAAAAAAAGAAGAAAGAAAACGAAAAGTTGGTGTCATGAACAACATCCCGGAAAAAGGAGGCCATGAAGAATCAACAAAATGGATTCTGGAGAAAATCGAGATTGATCCAATGGTGGATTTGTCCAAAGACAACAACACACAAGACAATTTATCAAAATGCGCAAATGGGATATGCTTGATGAGGAGCAATAGCTCTGTGAGGAAAAGGAACAACAACAATGGGGCTCAAGTAATGGCTCCAAAGATGGGAAGGATGACGTCAGGAGTGTCCAAAGGACTCAAAAGTCTCCGCTTTCTTGATAGGACTGTTACCGGGAAAGAAGCTGATGCATGGAAATCCATTGAGAAGCGGTTTTACCAGCATGCGCTTGATGGGAGGCTTGCGAGGGACAAATTTGGTGTCTGCATAGGTGGGGAAAAAAATAAAAACGTTTCCATTATTTTTATGTTTTTTTGATCTGGATTTGTGGAGTTTTAGAGATTGGATAAATGTGTGTTGTTTGTAGGAATGGGAGGAGAGTCAAAGGATTTTGCGGGGGAGTTGTTCGATGCGTTGGCGAGGCGTCGGATGATATGCGCAGGGAATGGGATAACTGTGGAGGAATTGAGGAAGTTTTGGGAGGACATGACTAATCAAGACCTTGAATCACGTCTTCAGATATTCTTTGACATGTGAGGGAAAAAAAAAAAAAAAAAAAAAACTCTCTTTCTTGTTTTTGATTGGCTTTTTTGTCTGGTCTAAGGAAATTATGATGAAAGAGTGAATGTGGTGAAATTTTGTTTTAGGTGTGACAAGAATGGAGATGGGAAGCTGTCAGAGGAAGAGGTAAAGGAGGTGAGAACAAATATTCAAAAGTATTCTTCTTCTTGTTGTTTCTGTTTATGAATTCTCATTCTGAAAATTTTTCTGGAAAAGGTTATAGTTTTGAGTGCCTCGGCGAACAAGTTGGCGAATCTAAAACAACAAGCGGCATCATATGCAGCTTTGATCATGGAAGAGCTTGATCCTGATCATCTTGGTTATATAGAGGTGAATTTTGCTGATATACCATATTTTTCTTCTTTTATTCATTTTATTTTCATCTTCTTAATTTTCGTTTTACACACAGATGTGGCAGCTAGAAACTCTACTGAGGGGAATGGTAAACTCTGAAGAGAACACCAAGCTCTCAAAGAAAACACAAACTCTCACAAAAGCCATGATCCCCAGAAGATACAGAACTCCTTTTAGCAGGTTCCTTTCCACAACTGAGGAGCTTTTACATGAGAACTGGAAGAGAATATGGGTGGTCACCTTGTGGATGACCATCAACTTGGTCCTCTTTGTTTCGAAGTATTACCAATACAAGAACCGAGCAGCTTACCAAATCATGGGCCGATGTCTTTGCTTCGCAAAGGGCGCTGCCGAAACTCTCAAGTTCAACATGGCTCTCATTCTCCTCCCGGTTTGTCGACGAACTCTCACAAAGCTTAGATCATCATTTCTTGGCAGAGTAGTCCCTTTAGATGACAACATAAACTTCCACAAGCTAATTGCATTGGCAATAGCAACTGGGACTTTTGTACATGTTGTGATGCATTTGACTTGTGATTTTCCGAGGATGATTTCTTGCCCGAAAGACGAGTTCGCAGAAATTATCGGTCGCAGTTTCAACTATGAGCAGCCGACTTACTTTCAGTTGCTAAGAAGTGTTTTAGGCGTAACCGGGATTCTCATGATCATTCTAATGGCTTTTTCCTTCACTCTGGCTTTACACTCGTTTAGGAGAAGTGTCATCAAGTTGCCATGGCCTTTCCACCATTTGGCAGGCTTCAATTCCTTCTGGTATGCGCATCATTTGCTGGCTTTGGTCTATATTCTTCTCGTCATACATGGCTACTTCTTATTTCTCACCAATGACTGGACTAAGAAAACAGTACGTTGCTACTTCGCTCGAGAAAGATGATTGCTTTGTTCATTCTCTAAGATGATCATAATTGGCTGACTGATATCTTATGTTATGTTTATTCTTAGACATGGATGTATATTATGGTTCCGGTCTTGTTCTATGCAACCGAAAGGACTTATTCTCTCATCAATGAAAGCAATCACTGCGTCGATATTAAGAAGGTCGGTTGATGAATCTTTTTCAGTAATTTGCTTGTGACTGTTCGAGACCACTTAAAGCAAACTCATCAAATTCCTTAAACATTGCAGGCAGTAATATATACAGGGAACGTTCTGGCACTGTACATGAGCAAACCTCCAGGATTCAAATACAAAAGTGGAATGTACCTTTTTGTCAAGTGTCCAGATATATCTAGCTTTGAATGGTATGTACCACAAATCTACTGCCTATGATTAGAAATTCAATCTGAGCATATTTTAAACTAAGATAATCAAATGTGTCATATGCTTTAGGCATCCATTCTCCATCACTTCCGCACCCGGAGATGACTACTTGAGTGTCCACATCAGAACCTTAGGGGATTGGACTACAGAGCTTAAGAACAGATTTGCACTGGTTGATATGCTTATTATATCTTCATTATGCTTAAACCATAAAATCATTTGCCTCAAATTTACCTCAAGTATTGTGTACCTGTGTATGAGTTCAGCATACTAAAGTCAAAAGAAAATGCAGGCATGTCAGCCAGAGAATACACAATCAAGGAGAGGAAACCTCGTTCGAATGGAGACCAAAGCCATTTCGGACTATGAATACCAAGGAGGGTCAGCAGAATCTTGGTTTGCTTGACATTTTCAACCTTTGTTACCTGTGATGTAAAGCAATACTCTCATCTTTTTAATGGCAGGTATCCAAGAATCCTCATCAAGGGACCGTATGGAGCCCCGGCTCAGAACTTCAAGAAGTATGACATCCTCTTGCTCATAGGTCTTGCGATTGGGGCAACTCCATTCATTAGCATCATAAAAGATCTTCTCAACAACATCAAGCCAAATGATAGTGAATCCGTGAGTCAAAAGGCGGCCAATAAGATGTGTTTTTTTTTTTTGGTTGGTCAATGTGCAAATACATGTGGTGTTTACTTGAAAATGGAATTTATCTATGCAGGGATCAACAAGCAGTAGTTCATCTGAACTTAACAGAAGGGGTCCCAAAAGAGCATACTTTTATTGGGTTACAAGAGAACAAGGATCCTTTGAATGGTTCAAAGGTGTCATGGACGACATCGCGGAGTACGACCATGATGTAGGTTTCGGAACTCAGAACCACTCCAGTTTTTCTTGCCTGAGCCTAAAATAGACTAAACAAATAAACTAACTTGTACCATATTTGCAGAATATAATAGAAATGCACAATTACTTGACTAGTGTATATGAAGAAGGAGATGCAAGGTCTGCACTTATTGCCATGGTCCAAAAGCTACAGCATGCTAAGAATGGCGTTGATTGCGTCTCCGAAAGCCGGGTACTAATTGAGCTCTAAACCATTATACAAGTCATTAGTCATAATTAATCCTTTTGTTTTCTTTTCTAACATGTGAATTACAACAGATAAGAACTCATTTTGCAAGACCCAATTGGCGGAAAGTGTTTTCTCAGATGGCAAGTACTCATCAATCTTCTCGAATAGGTATATTACACAAGTCTAAACAACATTTGATGCTAAGAAATCCGTTAAAGAACATATAATAAGATTGGTCTTGTCATTGATTTCCCTTTGATTCTTATAATTTGCAGGTGTCTTCTACTGTGGAAGTGCTACATTGAGCAAACCATTGAAGAAGCTTTGCCAAGAGTTTAGTTTAAATTCATCAACTCGTTTCCACTTTCATAAGGAGAACTTCTAGACTAATCAATCCCATACTTGGAAACTTGAGTGGAAAAAGAGTTCTCCATTTTTGAACTTTAACCCTTCTACTTGTTTTTTTGTTTGGGTGGTCATAGACCACTGTACATTCATAAAGTGCAAAATATACATATAATGTGCAAAAATTTGGAATCCAAATATTAACCTCGTTTTTCACTCTAATTATAAACTATTTTACTTAATAAAGTGCAAAATTGATGACTGCTTCATATTTCAGGCATTTATCAGTTCTTCAAACCCCGATGATTTGGAAATTTGCTAAGATTCTGAATAACTAAATCTATTAATAAAGTTTGGGGGAAAATGCTAAGGTCATATACCTCTTAATGGCTGCAATTCTCAAGACATTAATTCTTTAGGCTAAATTCTCAAAAAAGAAGGAAAAAAATAAATCTCTAGGTGAGAAGTTCTACTAAAAAGGAATCTTTAAAAGGGGTATACGATGCATGATATACTATATCCTTTCACTTAAAAGGGTAGATTTAATAAGAAAAATTAATTAAGAAAAGAATGCCTTAATAAATATTGGCAGTGCCAATATAATTTCCATTTCCTAAAATTTGTAATCATCACTGTCAGAACAAAAAAGGTTATTTGTGATGATTTCCCTTACAAATAATTTCATCACAATACAATATAGTCACGTCATTCCTTAGTGGTTGTAACCAAAGTAACATGGTTTAATGAACTTGCATGACTTGTGAAAGTTCAGAAGCAACCACATTAGAGATTGTAAATGTAAGTCTTGACAGAAATACACGTAAGTTATAACCTTAAGCCTTGCCATTGTGAAGGATTTATACGTTGTTTTTTTTCTCGTCGTCGTTATTATTGCTTCTCTATTACCTACTTGGCTACTTCTAAAAGGAAAACTAAATTGTTTTTACTCACTATCTTGCAAATGAACGGTAATCTACTGAGAAATACAAGAATGAAAGTCTTCCCGTCTGCATACTACACCGACGGTAACGTTCACGGCTTTGTGTCTCTCAAGTGAGAGTAAAAATAGCAATCAAGACTATCTTGCATTTAACAAAAATATTTATATCTGTCATGATCATAAGACCTTATCAGACTTTTTATAGGTTTGTATTGTCAATTTCCTATAACTACTCCATATTTCTTATGTTAATTCCTTATCTTATTGCCTTGTTTTTAGTTAATCCTTCCCTTAATTAGTTAGAGTAAAAAAATAAAAAGAAACGATTTATGAGATTAACTTTTTTTTTTTTTTTTTTTTCCATCTACATCATGTGATTGTACTGTGGTGTGCATGGTTTACAATTATGCAATTTAAGACTCGTCTTGAGGTGCGCTCACCATGAGGCGCAAAAAACATGCATGCCTTGAATCTTATGCCTCATGGAAAAGAGTAACTGTGTAAGGTCCGGAGAAATTCATGTCTAAATCGTAATTTAATCACGATTTACGATAATGAATTTTTCCTCATCAAGGTGCATTTCAGAAGCTCATGTAACTAGGAGGCTTATAAGGCAAGCAATAATCAATTTTTTGAATGCGCAACGGCGTGTATTTCCGGAGTAAAACACACGGTTTAATGTAATGCTATGATAACATACTTAGTTAATTAAGTTTAAGCATGCTTAATAACGGTATGAAAAGATGGGTCGTTACACTAGGGCACCCAAACATCTTCTCAAAGATAATCTTGTGATCGTACCTTCTTGTCGAGAGGCTAGTGCATGAGGAGATAGTTGAAAGACGAGGAGTGACCATGATGATTTTAGAGGATCATAATGTATCATATGACAACCTAAAGTCCATGCTCATATTATAACGCTTATCAGCCCGGGATCTATGTCAATTTTTGAAAGTAATTATTCCGTTTAGAAAAGAGAAAAATAAACAACAAAATATACAAATGAACAGTAATGGTGAGGAAGAGACATTTAGTTTATGTATTCAGAATCATTCTCGTTTTACGTGTATTTTTTGTGAGAGAAAACACTGTAGAGATCATGAATCATGATTCCGAATCAGAGACGAATATATGAAACAAACGTCCCTTATTGTATTTGCTAAACCTTTTTTGGGGTTTGGACAAAAGGCATCTGATACATAAAGGGCCTTGTGGGGAGTCCTATTATTGAGAAAAGTGCATGTGTCTATTGTCTTACATAAAAAGTAAATGAGAATTATGTGAAACAATTTATATACATGGAATGATCCAAGACTTAATAGGTTAATCTTTTGAGTTAAGTTTGGCTCTTAAAGTGTGTTGAGTCAGTTTCACACGTGATGTCTCCCTAACAAGTGGTATCAGAGCCAGGTTCGTATGGGCCAAGCAATCACATTCGGTTGCAGTTCTCACGTTACCTCCTGTGGAAAGTTGGTGTTCCTGCAGTTGGTGTTGTTGCAGGTGCGGATGGTGGAGTATTTGGTGGACTTGCACGGTTTCAGTTATTTTCCCATGCTCAAGTTGGCTCCCGTTTGGAGTGTGATGCTTGGATGTGCCGTTTGCTAGAAATTTTAGTTTGAGGGGAGCTCGGTGAACATACACATGAGGAGGAGATTATTGAAAAAAATGGATGTGTGTTGTCCAACATAACAAGTCGATGAAAATGTGAAATGATTTATATAAATGGAAAGATCCAAGACTTAATAGGTTCATTTTTAAGTCAAATTAGACTTTTAAAATGTGTTAGATCAGTTTCACATTTGATGTCTTCCTAACGCCTATGGACTGCCATTTTGATGACAATATCAAATTCTACCTTATTTTTATTTTTTTTTCTTTTCTTTCTTTAAATCTACCATTATGGTAGAGAATGTTTTATTCCAGCGTTGAAAGTGGACTCTTTTAACATATGTTCTAATCTACAAGTGAGAGCATTTTTGTATCATACACTCTCACAAACCAGACCATTAAAAAAAATTAGTGAAACGACTACTAGAATTTTCACTGCTGATAGTGCAACAGCAGAGAGAGAAAAAAAAAAAAAAAAAAAAAAAAAAAAAAAAAAAAAAAACCCTTTTATAGCAGAGATATTTGGTGGGAAAAATTAAAAAGTGCACATGGGACAAACGCATTTGAAGAACCTTTATTGCATGTTGAATGTCCGCTGAAAGGTACAATCCAGAAGAGAATCCTACAAAATGGGCTTGTGTGACTGCATTAACATGGCCTTTTTTGCATGATGATATTGATAACGTCAAAAAAGTATAATAGAAATGTTAATATCACCCATTTAGTAACTCTTTTCGTCATTTTTATTTATTTATTGTGAATATAGAGTTCACATATTAAATAATAAATACAGAAAGTGACAAAAAAAGTGATTAAAATAACGATATTAACATTTCTCACGGAATATTTAGAAGGGAATCCTAAAAAAATGCAATTGGCACAAATGAATTCCAAAACACCTTTTCCATGTCGACCTTCCGCCAAAAGGATGATACTAATACATAAAAATCTTTTTTTTTTTTTTTTTTTTACGAAGTTTGGATTCTGTAGGTATTGGTATCTCTAGAATTAACTACTGAAATATTCGTTTTGGTCAGCATGGATTTCATAGTAGATTATAGATCCTCAACTACAGTCATAGACTTCATATGTATTTAATTTAGGGAAAAAGAGAGAAATAGGTCAAGACTTGAGATGAATTAAAATTAATAGGCTAATAGTTTACATAAGTTAATAAATAGGCCAAATTACTGTTTTCATCTATAACTTGTCTGGTTATGAATAATAACTTGACAAGTTATTGTCCATAATTGTCCATAACTTGTCTGACTATGAACCATAACTTGACAAGTTTGTCCATAACTTATCTGGTTATAAATAATAACTTGACAAATTATGGCCTATTAATTTCTATAACGAAAAATTAGCCTATATACTTTCTTAAGCTTTTCATATTGACTTATTTTCTACTATTTTCCTTTAATTTATATGTATGGGCCTAGTATATATTATAACACAAATGAGCATCTAGAAGCATGCATTCCTATTTCCTAGCCAAACTAATCTTTATAACCAAAAGGATCAATGATGTTCATCACAGAGAAAACTTTTATCATAAACCTTTGAAACCGTGTCAAAATTTACCGTTAGAAAGCCTCTTGTTAACGTAATTACAGTCAAAATCTTTCTGCAAATGGGTACTAGAAAATAAATTAATACAAAGGGTGCTTTATGTTAAGGGTAAAATATGCAAGTCTCAAATAATTTGGTTCATGGAATCATGATTTAAAACCATTCTCGTTTTACGTGTATTTTTTGTGAGAGAAAAATATTATAGAGAATCATGAATCATAATTCAGAATCATAGATGAATACAAGAAACAAACGTTTAATTAAATACAAACATAATCACAGTTATATGAGAATATTGGTCACCCCACTTAAATAAATTAGCCTTTAAAATAGAAGCTTAATACTCCTTATGAAGTGCAATTCGTCTCTCTCACTTTTCTTCTCATCTCTCTCAAACTCTAATATGGTATCAGAGCTCATTGCTTCGATCCATAAAAAATATAAAATTAGGGACTCTTAACGGAGCACCATCTTGCGGGGGTGTGTGTTTAGGGTAAAATACTCAAGTCCTAAATAGTCTAAATACAAACACAATCACAGCCATATAAGGATATTAGGTCACCTCACTTAAACATGTTAATCTTTTAAAATAGAAGTCTAATACCTTATCAAGTGTAAATCTTCTCTCTCACTTTTCCTCTCATCTGGAACAGATTTAATGAGGTGTTTAGAAAAGAAAAATTAAGTAAAAAACTATTAGTTGGGTGTTGAAATTAGCTGGGCAACAGAACTAATCGGGTGTTTAGAAAAGAAAAATTAAGTAAAAAACTATTAGTTGGGTGTTGAAATTAGCCGAAAATACATACAGAGAAGAAATTTATTGTATAGAGAAACAATTAGAGTGATAACCCACCTAAAAAAAATATGAATGTTCTCAATTTTGCTAAAATATAATATTACGATGTTCTTCGAGCCCAACTAACAAAGAATATAAGAGGACGTTTGTTTTCTGTATTCGTCTCTGATTTTGAATCATGATTCATGGTTCTTTATAGTGTTTTTCTCTCATAAAAAATACACGTAAAACGAGAATAATTTTGAATCATGATTATGAATCTATGAATCAAACGTCCACTAAGACTAAGACTGCATAAAGGATATCCTCGTTTCAAATTGAGAACGACGTACATATGTTGTTTAATTGGAAAAATAATAGTTTCAATTTGCCTGATAATTGTGACGAGATTTAGACCTAGAGTTCACATTCTTAAGGATTTAACATGTGAACGTATGATGATATGCGCTGTCATTTTCGTCATCAAAGTCGCGAACATGGAAGAAATTTTATTTGTATATATATCTTCTTGTATGATAAATAATAACATCCCTAAAAAATGACAAGATTATAATATAATGATACTAATAATATAATGTTGTCCTTATGATTTTTTATTAGTTGAAAGTGATGTCGTTTTCATTCACAACTGGCCATATCTCGATGCACATCTTTCCATCTACATATATATATATATATATATATATACACACACACACACACACACACACTTCAAAGTGAGGTGCAATAATAAATTATAACAAGAGGATAAGAAGAAACGAGGAAAAATATTTTGTCCATTCGTACAAGGGTAACATTTCAAAGGTTTCTAATAGTTTAATTATATCAATTATCGAGACACATCTATTATATATAATTGGTTGATCATTTCTAAATCGTTTATCAGCATGGTTCAATTAGGCTGGCACTGAATAATCTCTAACAACTAATGAGGTTCGGTGTCACCAACAAGGGCGACTTTCACATTTACCTTTCACCAATTTACCCCTTAAACTTTTAATTTTATAAGTTGCCTCTTTAATTTATAAAACTGTTACAGTATGCTCAATTTTGATTATGGTTGTGTTAATTTGGTATCGTAAAAGCACGTTTGACGAAATTTTTTTAACATTTCAATTCAAATGTAACATAAATCTCTCAATTCCATAACTTTAATCCTTTAAAAGATTAAATCTAGCAAAAAAATCCGAAAAAAATTTAAGAAAATGGGAGACATTATAACCATTTTACAAATTGAGAGGGTAAATAACGGAAATTAAAAATTCAAAAAGGGAGTTACTAAAATCCTACAAATTAAAGGAGCAAATTTGTAAAATACCCCATAAAAAAAGAGGAACGATAACAATTAGGTTCCGCAAGAAAAATACATCAATTATAATGCCCGTGACTCTTGGTTTATTTGTTGCTACTCCTCTAATGGAATGTGACAATTTATCCAACTTATTATTTCAAGCTTTTTAGATTGGGAAAGAACACAAGTAAGAATGCTTTAAGAAAAGTCCCTTTATGACCTTAGAAAAGCATTTTCAAGTTGAAAAAGCAACCTCTAACAATTATTGGTCATGGACAAAGATAATGGCAATCAGTGCTTCACAGCTTCATAACAGTAAAAGAGACTTTAGAGCACTGTAATGCTTGGCTCCTCAAATCGTGAACTTACACCTTGATCCCTTATTATTCCCGCCTTCTTTGTTTGGGCGTGGAAAAACACTTTATGTGATGTTCCTACTTGCCATGCATAACACATGGTCAAGAAAAAAACCAAGGATAATAATTAAAAAAAAAAACGCTACATTGCTTAGCAACGGTCATCATGATGACGTAATAAAACCGTTAGAAAATAAATATATGTATATATATTTTTGTTGGAAGAAAGCATTATGGAGAGAGCAAAACCACGATATCAGATATCAATGATAAAATCTTCCTCGTAATTTTTATTGTATAAAATATTTAAAATCGAAGCAAAAGATAGGGCAGTGCCGGTCCAACATGTTTGCCACTTACCAGACGTGACGTGGAATAAGCGCAAATTAAAACTTTATTATTTTACGACTATTTTTTTTTTAACCATCTAAATTTTCTTTTTTTTTTAATTGTATAAAAGAGCAGTGAGTTATTAGTTATAAAATAAAATAAATAAGAGTGAAATTTCCCGCATTGGTATTAAATGGAAAACAAATAACAGAAAATGAAGGACGTGAAAATTTCAAAACGACAAGCAACAAAAAATGATCGGTGAAAAAAAATAGACAACATGAGGGAAAAAGAAAAACGTAAAAACAAAACAAGAGGACAAACGACAAGTAGTAACATTTTTTTTTTTTTTTTTAATGAAACGAAGAGTGACAATTTATTACGATTGTTGGTAAATAAAGTCAAGAGCAAGACGTGATTGATGGTAAATACAAACTTACAAATATATCACGGTTTGATTAATCAACTTCAACTTGGTCTGATTCCTTTTAAAAATTTAATCCTATCTACTATAAAGAAAGACTGATTATAGCCATTCCACCAATAAAATAAAATAAAATAAATAAAAAGACTGACTATAACCATACTATAGCATAAAAGGGATATAAAAGGTAACAAAGGCTTGATATAAATCATCAATGTTCAAAGTTTATGGCTACCAGCAGCCATTGACAAGCAAATTACATAGGTTCATAAGCAATTAGTGCACTGTTTAGTGTTCTATACACACACACACACAGAGATATACAATATATATAGATATATATATATATATATATATATATATATATTGAAGTGAGTTTGAGTGTAATAATTTATTGCTTGAGAAAAAAAAAATGAGTCTACATTTTCTTCGTAGCACTCACAAGGGGAAGGAAGCTGAAGCTTGGAAATCCGTTGAGAAGAACTTCACCAAGCATGCAGTTGATGGCAGACTCTATAGGGAGCATTTTGGACCCTGCATTGGTAATTTAGAAAACATAATAATTGCCCATTTGACCCTTTTCTTTCTTTTTTTTTTTTTTTTGAAAGTTTTATGGAGCTTGTGTTTCTGAAGGAATGGGAGAAGAGTCGGAAGGTTTTGCAGAAGGATTGTATGATGCTTTGGCCAGGCGTTGGATCATATCAGCAGTTGACGGTATTACTTTGGAGGACCTCAAGAAGTTTTGGGACGACATCACTAGTGAAGACCTTGAACATCGTCTGCAGATATTCTTTGACATGTGAGCAAATTACGAAGGATCCTTTCTTTTCACAGTTTGAATCACAATTCAACCTTTTTGCTATAGTATTTTTCTCTCACCAAAAACTTGAACTTCAGCTCGAGTTTTTCACTCAAGCTTATGAAAAGAACACAGACTCTCTTTCTTTTTCTTTTTTTTTTGAAGGAAATGATGATGACATTAGTGAATTTTGTTTAGGTGTGACAAGAATGGAGATGGGCAGCTCTCAGAGGAAGAGGTCAAGAGGGTGAGATAAACAAGAGAATTACCAAAAATTGTGGCGTTCTTCTTTCTTTCTTTCTTTCTTTCTTGTTCTGTTTCTTATGAATTTGAATTCTGAAAAAAAAAGGCTATATATCTGAGTGCCTCGGCGAACAAGTTGGCCAATCTTAAAAAGCAAGCAGCTTCACATGCAGCTCTGATCATGGAAAAGCTTGATCCTGATGGTCTTGGTTATATAAAGGTGATTTTTATTTGGCTGCATTCGTTTGTTCTTATTCAGCATCATCTTCTTGTTTATTTGTTTATCCTTTTTTCTCGCAGATGTCACAGTTAGCAGCTCTACTGAGGGGAATGGTTGACTCTGAAGAAAAAACCAAGACTCCTAGGAAACAAAGAACACGTTTGGCCATGTTCTTCTCCACATCTCAGAATCTCATCCATGAAAATTGGAAGAGAATATGGATTATAACTCTTTGGCTGTCCATTAACTTAGGCCTGTTTCTTTGGAAGTACTATCAATATAAGAACAAAGGGGCTTACCAAATCATGGGTCCATGCCTTTGCTTTGCAAAGGGCTCCGCCGAGACTCTCAAGCTTAACATGGCCCTCATTCTCTTCCCAGTTTGTAGGAGAACTCTCACGAAACTCAGATCATCATTTCTCAGCAACATAATCCCTTTTGATGACAACTTGGAATTTCACAAGTTAATAGCCATTGGAATAGTGACTGGGGTTCTTGTGCATGTTCTGATGCACCTTACTTGTGACATTCCTAAATTGGTTTCAGCCCCAAAAGAAAAGTTCATGAGCATTTTGGGGTCAAGTTTTGACTACAAGCAGCCGAGTTACCTGGACCTGCTAGGAAGCGTTGCCGGCATAACCGGGGTTCTGATGGTTGTTATAATGGCCTTTGTCTTCACTCTGGCACTTCAGTCGTTTAGGAAAAGTGCCATCAAGTTGCCAAAGCCTTTCCACCATTTGGCGGGCTTCAATTCCTTTTGGTATGCACATCATTTGCTGATCTTGGTGTATATTCTCCTTCTCTTACATGGCACCTTTCTGCTTCTCACTGACGACTGGACCAAGAAAACGGTACGTTGCCACTTCCATGCAGTGTGACTTTATGAAGACATAAAATTGTAAAAACAGAAATCTCCAATACAGTACTTAAGAAATATGTCTAATTGTTGCTATGTGATGATTATCAACTGAGAGTGATGCTGAAATTAAATTGTTATTTATTTATTTTTTTTGCAGACCTGGATGTACATCGCTGTCCCTGTCTTGATCTATGCAGCTGAAAGGATTTATTCACACTTTAATGAAGGCGACGATCCGGTTGTTATTAGAAAGGTCAGTCGAAGCTGCTTTTTTCTGTGGTTACTTGTTTGAAAAGTTTCACAAAAACTGAATCAAACTCATCATATTCCTTGAACACCGCAGGCTGTAGTATACAAAGGGAAGGGTTCAGCAGTAGCACTGTACATGAGCAAACCTCCAGGATTCAAATACGAAAGTGGAATGTACCTTTTTGTCAAATGTCTAAATATATCTAGTTTTGAATGGTATGAACCGCATGTTTACTGCATATGACTAGAAATTTGATCTTACCGCGATCTTAACTAACACGAGCGGATGTGTTACATGCTTCAGGCATCCCTTCTCCATCACTTCTGCGCCCGGAGATGATTACTTGAGTGTCCACATAAAATCCTTAGGGGATTGGACTAGAAAGCTCAGAGAAATATTTGAGAAGGTGATATGCTTGTAACTCTATAATGCCTATACCGGAGAATATGGCTCAAATTGTGTTTTGCTTATATAACTTCATCACACTAAGTCAAAGAAATGCAGGCATTGGAGCAGGAAAATATGCAAACAAAGAGAGGAAACCTCGTTCGGTTGGAAACCAAAGCCTTTTCCAAATACGAACAACAAAAAGCAGGGTGAGCAGAATCTTAGATAAGAGGCACTAGAGTTTTCAATCTTTGGCATTGTATTTTGAATATGTTCTATTTCTACTAGCAGTTATCCAGAAATTCGCATCAAGGGACCATTCGGAGCGCCATCACAGGATTTCAACAAGTATGACATCCTCTTGCTCGTAGGTCTCGGAATTGGAGCAACTCCATTTGTCAGCATTATAAAAGATGTTCTAAACAACATAAAAGCAAATGACCCTGAATCTGTAAGTCAAAAGGCAATGAATAGGATAATATCTTTTGTTGGAAGTTTGTTTATACCACTTTGTGGTATTTACTTACAAAGGGGAACTTTTGTGCAGGGCTTAAAGGGCAGTCAGTCATCAGAAGAATCAAACAAAATAGGTCCTAAAAGAGTATACTTCTATTGGGTGACAAAGGAACAAGAATCCTTTGAATGGTTCAAAGGAGTCATGGATGACATAGCGGAGCACGATCACGATGTAGGTTTCGTAACTCAGAACACTCTGGTTGCTAATTTATCTAAGCTATAACACGCAATAAACTAACTGGTAAAATCTTTTGCTGGTTCTTCAATATTTTGCAGCATATAATAGAAATGCACAACCACTTGACTTGTGTACATGAAGAAGGAGATGCAAGATCTGCCCTTGTTGCCATGATCCAAAAGCTACAACAAGAGAAGAATGGTCTTGATGTTGTCTCAGAAAGCCGGGTATATTTCATTAAGCACAACTAGCATTGTAAAATTCATTAATCACTTATCATTATGTATCCTTAATAATTACATGATGTAAATTGCATGCAACAGATAAGAACACATTTTGCAAGACCGGATTGGCCTAGAGTGTTTGGTCAAATAGCAACTACTCATGAATCTTCTCAAATAGGTAAAAATGCCACGATACTGATTTCTCCAGTGAATTATATCAGTGTAAAAAAAAAAAAAACAAAGGAAAAAAAAAGATGCCAGAAAATGATTTAAAGAACTTTTTATAGTTGACTGTTATTGTTTTTAGTTTCACTTTGTGATTACTTGTGGATTCAATTATTTCAGGTGTATTCTACTGTGGAACGCCTGTAGTGGCCAAACAACTGAAGAAGCTCAGCCAAGAATTTAGCTCAGATTCAACTCACTTCCACTTCCACAAGGAGAACTTCTAGACTTATCCCATCCTTGGGAACTTGTGTAAAAAAAAATAAAAAAATCCCAAGTTTAAATATTTAAAGTCTGCACTTCTTTTCCCTGTGATATATAACCGCACAATATTCATAAAGTGACGCGTACATGTAGAAGTGTAAAAATACGAGTCTAAATAAGAAATTTGAAAGTGTTCCATACCTAACATTACTTTTTCAGCACGAATCAAAAGTCATCATGACTTACCACCTTTTTCATATCATAAGTTTTTTTTTTGGGTTGTTAGTGTTAGATTTGATGTTATGTCTCGTATTCTAGATGATATTGAAATATTGTCTGAAACACGGCTTAATTAATTAAGATCCGGGTTAATTACGTACATTTATTCGAGTAGAATAGAGTGCAGAAATCAAAAGAACACACAATATGATATCATAGTTTGGTGCGCACACTTACATCTGCGAGGCCACGCCCAGATAGTAAACAGGTCACTATGTTCCAGAAATTACAGACACCAGACAGACGTATTCACTCAAGGATTCCCTCATAAACAATGACGCCGCTATGACGAATCTCCACAGTGATTATTTAGCGTGCACCACATGTCTTCTATTCACTTGGCGAACTCCCTTCGACCGGTAGAGCTTCCTCCCGAAAGCAACAAATCCTTCTCCCGTAGGACGATCTCAATAGCGCACTAGGCTCACAAAAACTCACAGACTCTTTTATGAAAATGTTCAATTAAACTCGTACTCTCATATGCTCTGAAACAAAGCCTTTAAATAAAATGAAGAGAATCCCATTCAAATCCACTCTCAATAAGATTTCTATTATCTCCATGATTCTCTCTCCTAGATAGACTCTAAAATATCTTCACGTTACCTTTTCAATCTCCAATTCAAATTATGCAGCAAACTATCAAATTCGAACTAATTATCCTTTTAAACTTTGAATTCAGATTTAACCTTCTCATCCACCATCACCTTTATAGCACATAATCCAATCTATCTTACCTCACCCGTGGCCTTCTTTTCCAAGCTCCTTTCACTTCCAACATTAACAATATATGTTTATCACATGTAAACCTCTCATGCTTTACGTAATACATCAAGCTTGATTTGATTTTAAATATTCTTTTGTAAACGTTATCCGCAAGCTCTAATTTTGAACAACTCCAAACAATAATCGGATTAAGCCAAGAATTCAAATATGAAAATAACTTGATCTCTATGTAAGCTTTATCTCCCATTTAAATTCAAATAACTAATGCATTATCTTCCTTTGACCAGGGTCTTATCCTTATCTCTCCAAATCTCAACAATTGTCTTATTTTCCTTTGACCAAGATTTTATCCTTATCTCTTCAAATCTCAACTCAACAAAATGTGCAACTTTAACTTCAAATCTGATTCTGAATCTTCTTCTGCAATACGAAATCTTCTTGAACCTGTCTTTTGAACTTTTACAAGATTGCCAATAAATTGCCAACTAATAAAAATACATAACAATCTCTCCCTTTGGCATTGTTTGGCAAAACTAACAAGAGATCCTAAAAAATTCAAAAACGACAAAAATATATATAAAATTACTTTGTTCTCCCCCTTTTTATCAAAAATAAGCCAAAGACACAAAAAAATAAAAAAATTCACACCCTAGAAGCGTCTTCATCAACTTATATCGCAGATCATGTTGTAACACTTATTGGAACACTCGATGCAACACTTCGCACTAGATATCTATGAACGCACTGATCTCTGTAGCTTACTCCCCCTAAATCTACTATGTGTCTTACTCCCCTTGAATGTAGCATTCTCCTATGTATAATGCTCTTAACACTTGTCAATCGCTTAGTGCAACCAACATCACTACACCCACAATCATTAGTGCATGCTTCGAAAGAAGTATAAGCCTTATGACACCTCAAATCAGATTTCCTTACCCACACACGTCTAGAAAATTATTTTCACATCAATCTTCACGTTATGTGTCTTCTTTGAGTTTACGAAATTTGGTAGATTAATAAACATACCTCTCTTCAATGCATTTAAATACTTATAACATCTCGGTCTTATGCGGTCAGGTAAACCGCAGTAATGGCATGTGGGGACAAACCTTCTATGTTGAGAGGATGAGATAGTAACTTTCTTACTGGAAGAAGTTTAGAGGTAGTCCTCTCTTTCACAGACACTGTCTTGGACGTTGAGCTCTCACCAGTATAGCCAAGGCCATGTCGATCACCATTCGCTTTTCCTATCGAGAGAATGTGATCCAATTCTATGGTGCTGGAATTCATCATCTTCAATGACTTTTAAGTGTACTCTAATTTAGCTCTTGTCTCCTACAGCTTTTTCTCCTTTTCAACAGCCTGAAATTCATAGTTTACAGCAACCCTATTAAGCACATCCTTCTCTTTAATAAGCTCATCGACTCACTCCCGCAAAGACTTATTCATTTTAACCACCAAAACCCATTTGTTGAACATGGCTTCATATGCCTTTTGGATTGTCTCCTCAGTCAGTTCTTCACCATGACTGGAACCGTCAGAATCTAAAAAATCTATGTTTTCTTCTGGTTTTCCAGAGTGTGTTGCAGATGATGTTGCAACAAGAGCTGTCACACGATCTGTAACACTGCAGTTTGGAACATCTTAGTAAACATTGAACGCAACATAGTTGTTCACATGATCATCATCTTCCTGGTTGCCTTCAGAATCCTCATCACTCCATATGACGTTGAGAGATTTCTTCCTCTTCTTGAGAGTGTTAGAACACTGAAACTGAATGCGACCGTAACCGTCGCACTCCCGACATTGAATTTCCATATTCTTCTTCTTATCATTGGAGGAATTTATAGCTCTCTTATTTTTCTGAAAATTGTTGGAGTTGTTGAAAGTTGGAGTTTAGTTCTTCTCGTTGAACTTCTTCATCACCCTGTTGAAATTTTTAGTTAATCGAGCAAGCGACTCCGCTAAGTCTTCATCTTCTTATTCAACATTATCTTCCACTTCGGCTTGGAAAGTAATCCCCTGAGAAATCCCCTTCCCCTTCTTAGTTTGACTCAGGTTCATTTCAAATGTCCTCAGTGATCCCATAAATTCATCAAGTCTCATAGTCTCAGTTTTTTTTGCCTCTTCAATAGCAGTGACTTTGTGGTAACGATCTCAACGTCTTGCTGAAAAATTTTGCCTCGGGAATTTTTTCACCAAGAGCAAAAGATTCATTACCTATATTACACAACCGTGAATTAAATTCAAAAATAGTTTCATTTTCATGCATTCGAAGATTTTCAAACCTGGTTGTTAGAATATTCAATTTGGATTGTCTGACGGCGGCGGTTCCCTCATGAGCAATCTCTAAAATCTCCCATGCTTCTTTTGCCAATTCACATGTAGATATCATCTTGAATTGGTTAATGTCAACTCCATTGAATATTGCATTGAGAGCACGAGAGTCGTAGATGACCAACTTGTCTTCATCACTATTCTAGGAGCCTTCAGGTTTTATAATCTTTTTTCCTTCTGCATCTTTAGTTACTAGATGATTCCAACCATTCAAAACAGCACACCATGCCTTCTCATCTTGAGCCTTGATGAAAGTCTTCATCCGGACCTTTCAGTATGAATAATTTGAACCATTGAGCAGAGGGAGACGTGCAATTGAACCTCATTCCTTTAGAAAATCCATTCCAAACATAACAGATCAACTCTCCAAGATCTCACCGAACTTATGG